TCAAATAAATAATCAAAAATTTGTTTCAAATCGTCAGGGTGCAAGCATTTATAATAAGTTTTTTTTTAAAAAAAACAATTGAGATCTAAAGAAAATATTCCGATTTCTTCCTTCGGATACTTTGTTTTTTCCCCGACTGCTAATTAATATGCAATGCAAATAATCAAAAAATTCTTATTGAAGGCCAAAATTGGCAAGGTGCAAGCATTTATAATAAATAAAGTTTTATTAAAAAATAATTAAGATCTAAAATCAGTTAGAATGGATTCACGGTGTCAGGTTTATAGATTTGAATTACTTTTTTTATCTATAGTATATAATTTTTCGTAGTTTGTACTAAAACTTTCATTCATTCTGTAAATAAAAAAAATTGTGATCTAAAAAGAATATACAGTCAACTATCTCTAAGTGCACACTCTCTAAGTACACGCATTATATATATTCTCTAAGTGCACGTATTATATATTTTTTCTCTAAATGCTCCCTCTTACTCAGTCAGTATATAAAGATCATATGAAATCTCTCTCTCTAAATGCACACTTTCTCTAAATACAGTTGACTCTCACTAATTGATCTTCCTCTAAGTGCACGTATTATATTTTTTTTCTCTAAATGACCCTCTTACTCAGTCAATATATAGATATCATACGAAATTTCTCTCTCTAAATGCACACTTCTCTAAATACAGTTGATTCTCACTAATTGCTCTTCCTCTAAGTGCACGTATTATATATATTTTCTCTAAATGCTCCCTCTTACTCAGTTCCAAGTATATAAGATCATATGAGATCTCTATCTAAATGCACACTTTCTCTAAATACAGTTGGCACTCGCACGTACTATATATTTTTTCTCTAGATGCACCCTCTTACTCGGTTCGGAGTATACAGAAATCATACGTCAACTTTCTCTAAGTGAACTCCCTCTAAGTAGTGCACGCATTATATATATTTTTCTCTAAATGCACCCTCTTATTCAGTCAGTATATAGAGATCATACGAAACTTCTCTCTCTAAATACACACCTTCTCTAAATACACATTTTTCGTACTTCCTTCGAGTATTTCCCGTTCTATTTTCGGTAAAAAAAATTCAAAAAATTAATTTACAAAGCTATACAGAACAAATGGGTTTTGAAATATACATTACAGATTTTAAGTACTCCTTTTTGATAGTTTTGCAATCCGTCTAGCGCATAGAATCAGCTTCACCTACCAAAGTATACAGGTATGTTACCTTGGATAGCATGCAGGTTGAAAGTTTTTCTATGCTTGAGGCTCAATTCAATAAGAATTGCACATTCTTTATGCTTCATTTTCCAAAGGCTCAATTCAATAAGAACTTCACATCCTTTAGTGATAAACACAAAGTAGTTCTTCTAGGGAAATTCAACCTTGATCTCTTTATTATTAATTTACAAATATGACATATACATATTATATAAAAGAAAAAACAACGTGAAGTTTTATCCAAGTACTTCAAGTATTTTTCCCGTTTTAAAAGTTCTTTTTTTTTCAGAAAAAAACAAAAGAAAAAAAAAAGAGATTTAAAAATTACAAGCTTATATAGATCAAATCATCTATATATTTTAAATACTATATAAAAAAAAGAAACAACATGAAACTTTTTATCCGAGTACTTCCTATACTTCCTTCGAATATTTTCCAAAAAAAAACAACGTGAAACTTTTTATCCGAGTACTTCCTATACTTCCTTCGAATATTTTCCAAAAAAAAACAACGTGAAACTTTTCATCCGAATACTTCCTATACTTCCTTCGAATATTTTCCAAAAAATAACAACGTGAAACTTTTTATCCGAATACTTCCTATACTTCCTTCGAATATTTTCCAAAAAAATAACAACGTGAAACTTTTATCCGAATACTTACATACTTTCTTAAAGTATTTTCCAAACTTGAAACTTTTTATCCGAATACTTCCTATACTTCCTTCGAGTATATTCCATAAAATAACAACGTGAAACTTTTTATCCGAATACTTCCTATACTTCCTTCGAGTATATCCCCCAAAAAAACGTGAACTTTTATCCGAATACTTCCTTCGAGTATATCCCCCAAAAAAACGTGAAATTTTTTATCCGAGTACTTCCTTCAAGTATTTCCTGTTTTACAAATATGTAAAAAAAAAACATTCGTTAAATCCATTTATAGATCCTCCGAGCATTTCTCCGAATATTTCCATTTTAAAATTTTCTTTTCCTTGTAAGATCCGTTTAATTCCGAATACTTTTATTTAAGATTACAAATTCCGTAATATTAAGAATGTATTTAGAATGAAACGAATTTGTAATTAATTTTCTTGTAAATTATGATAATAACAATAATATTTTCCTTGTTATCCCTGTTAAATAACAGGTTTTGTTTCATAAAAAAAGAAAAAAAAGAATATTCATAAAATCCATAATTTACATGATTAACCATGGATACAAACAAGAAAAAGAACTAAATAAGAACTACAAGAAAACTATAACTTTTTTTTTTTTAATTACACCTTTTTTGAAATTGGAATAATAATAATTAGTAATAATAGCAAATCATAATAGTAAAAATTTTTTTTTTTTTCTTCGAAATTTTTTTTTTTTTTCGCGATAAGAAAAATACGCGTTTCCAAAAAAAGGAGCTATGATTGGTTTGGTTGTATGCATAATAATAATGTAATTAATGCAAAATATCATTACACCAAAAAAGCCAAAAAAGGAACCAATTTCCCAGATATTCATCATGAGGTATAGGAATTGAATATATAGCATTGATTATAGACTTTGATTATATCATTTGATTAAAAGCATTGAAACGTAACATTTTGATTCGATCTACAAAAAGGTACATTCGTTATACTAATTTAAAAAAAAATCTCATTCGTTGAACTAATCTAAAATCTAAAATCTAAAAAAAAAAAAAAA